TGCAGGGAGCCGGGCGGGTGGCCCTGCCCGCCGCCTCTCTCCGGCCCGCCCCGCGCTGCGGCCGCGTCAGCGAGCGGCTGTGGGAGCGGAGTCGGCAGCGGGACTGGAAACCGCTGCATGCGACGGTATAAAAGCATTTCGGAGTCCGCGTTCTGCAGAACAGAAGGTTGAAAGTGGAACCGGCTTTGTAAGGGGACACTGCTGAATGGCTTCCTTCCCCGGAACGTGAGTGTGTGTGTGCCTCCCGTGACGGGATACACCCGTGGCGGGATACCACCGTGTGGTCGGAAACAGTTTGATCAGGCAGAAGTTGGTAATATTGGTGACTCTGAATTGCAACTGTGTATCCCGCTGCAGCAGTAATCGTATGTTGTTACTGTTGTGCCTAGAAAATGCCTTGATCTCCTAGTGCTGTTTGGTGATAACTGGGAAGCGAGGAAATAGGTATTCACCCCCGCTTGTTTTTGTTAGAGGCTTGTGGAAACTGAAAAGAAGGATGGATTGACTCTCATCCTCAACTGTAATGTTAGTTTTATCTGCTAATTTTTGACAAAGAATAAGAACAGCCATTTTACAACAGCTGGCTGGCTGGAGGAAAACAGCAGTCTTCTCTTCATATACGTTTTGGAGAGAGACTCTTGCAAATCAAATAAAAAAAACCAGAAAAGCAACAAATGCAAGTATTTTCAGAAATTGTTAGAGGAGCATGTGTAAGTCTCTTAAATTTGACTGTGCCAGTATGAGGTTGCTAATGCAAAGTGTGAAAAGTAGCATTTCATCAGACATTGAGCGCAATTCCCTAGTAGCATAAATTTAGAAGACACATGAATGGCAATACAGCATACTTCGAACTTGGCATTTGTAGATACACAGTTTAACATAATTTTCACAAAATTCTTTTAAGTACATTACCTCCTGTGGGCAATTACATTTAGCCTTTCAGACTTTGACTCGGTTGTTACATAAGAGTGTGATGAATGAAGTAATAAAGAACAATATGATTTTTTTTTTGTTTGTTTACTTTTGAGTATATGACAGCTTTTAATATATCTAATGTCCTTGTTTCCTTGGCTGGGTATATCTCTGTATTTATACTGTTAGATTATATCTGAGAGCTAGGGCTCCTGTGTAAAGTTTTGCTGTAGGCTGTATGTGAGAGAGTTGACAAGCAAGATAAAATCTAAGGGGTGTTATGAAGAGAAAGCTTACCTTTTACTGAACATCACTAGCAAGGTCAAGATCAGAAAACTTTACACACATATAAATTGTGTATTTAAAAGTTGTGTATCTGATGGGTCTTGGCTGTAGAAGGTTTTTTGGGTTGATGGTCATGGGGCTTGGAAATTGCAGACTAAATAGCTGCTCAGTAACACAGGCTCTGTGATCATCTTGTTATACTGAAAATACTCTTTTCAGCTTCCTCCAGAGGAATGGTAAAATCTGTGAAATATTTAGATTGGCACATTTGTATGCTTTAATTAATTCTTTTGGGAATTTCCATAACTGTCATTGCTGAAGACTTGTTTTAAATAGAATGTTTACTGTGAATTTTTAGTTAGAGCTTCAGGAACCCCGTGAAACTAACAGGAGAAGTGAGATTCTTTGGTAACAAAATACCCACCATTTAGAAAAAATGCTTATATTGATGCTTTCCATTTTAATAAAAATCTCTATTTAGCGTTTTTCCCCTTACTTGCAGAATCCTTACCAGTGTGACTTCTGTAGGAATTTTCTATCTGAACCACTTACTTGAGGATATGCTGAAGCTGAGCAAGTTACTGTGGCTGTGACCACAACAAAACTAATGGGCAGCTGCTGTTGGCCTTCGTAGCTTGGTAAAGGGTGATCTGTGTATCAACACTTGGTTTTTCAGCTGATCAAACTATATTAGAATTTTCTTATTTACGAGAGCCGGTTCGTTTGCCTGCAGCTGAAAAAAGGGTGACTGAAAAACCGTTCCTGCCCCTTGCCAGGCCATTCTCCTCCAGCTTCGGCGGAGCTGCTGAAACTTCCTGAATGCCCAAATCGGCCCTCAGCTGCTGCATGGAGCTTGCTTGCTCGACATGAAAGGCAGAGGAAGGTGAATGGCAAGGGAGGATTGCCTAAGCTCCTGCGGTTGAAGCTGTTGGCAAATATCTGTTGGTTTTCCTGTGATTGTGCAAATTCCATGGGCTGAGGAGTTTGAGAGACCATTGTGGCTCCTGGAGAAAGCTTTATCTATGTTTAGAACACTTGCATCAGTGTAGGGTCTTGGAGTTTTTCTTTGTTCACCTTTAAAGTAGAGCAGATGGTTCTTCATATGATGCCCTTCCTCTTCTGTTACAGGAAGAGAAGCTATTAAGAATTTTTTTTTTCATTGTGTTTTAGGAACGCTTCAAGAATGAGTCCACCACAAGATAGAAGTAGAAATTCTTGCAGCAGTGAGCCTCTGGCAAAGTGCCTTCAAGCAAAGAAGGACTTGGAAACAGCTATATCTGGAATTGTCAAAGCTGAACAACAGATTAAAGAGAACTGGAGGGAGGTAATTATTTTTTTATTATTATTTTAAAAAATTATAATAAATAGCATGACTTTAATGACACTTTTATTATTCCAGAGTACTTTCTATTATGATGATGGTCTGAAAATTTCCTAGAGACTTGCAAGCTTCTTGCTGTGTAATTTGGTCATGCTTTTGATAAAGGTATTACTGTATTACTCACTTAGGCACACAGAATTTACTAAAGCTGTTGGCTGAAACATCAGAATAGAGAGATATTGCAAATAACATTGTTCTTTGATACTTGTACGAAGGTAGCCTTAGAACTTTTACTAACTTGAGTCGTATGATGCTCTGGGTGACTGTGGTTAGTTTTTGAGAAATAAATTGAAATAAAATCAAACATGATTTTGTCATCAGTGCAGCATATGCTTATTCGTGCTGTTTGCCACATGTTCTAGAAATGGCACGTGTTGCCTTGCAGGTAAAAGCCAAGATTCACAGCCACATAAGCCGCCACCTGGAATGCCTGCGCAGCCGCGAAGTTTGGCTGTTTGAGCAGGTAGATCTCATCCAGCAGCTGAAGGAGGAGGCGTTGCAGCAGCAGGCGCAGCAGCTCTATTGGGTAAGATTTGGTCGTAAATTGTTGCACTGGCATTTTTAAACAAACTTCGTCCTTGCAAGTGTTTCCTCAATTTTAATCTTAGAAGCCAAAACAATAACATGTGTTTTGTCTTCCATGCAGTATTTGGGACAATTCAATTGCCTTATTCATCAGCTGGAACGCTCCTATAGTAACGAGCTAGCAAACCAGATTTCAGTTTGCCTGGAGAGGTAAATTATTTTATGATGCAAATTAACACAATTGTTATTTATTTTGACTTAGGAATTTAATCTGATTTTTGATTCTAAAAGAACTAATAATAGATCTAAGCATTTTTAATGGTTCCTAGAAATAAGATCTTTAAAGCAGTCTGAGATATGATTCCTCTCATCTTTTTTTGTCTTAGATTGAAAAAACAGGACTATAACAAGGAGGAGTGCTACTAATTTGTGCAGGTTATTTCAAATATTAGTTGTTGATGGCAGTTTAAGTAAGAAGGAGAAACTTGTGTTTTACTGGCTATTTTTTCTGTTCTTGGTTTGTGGATTTGCATCTTTTTATTTTTATGCAAGTATTAAAAGTCTTTCTGGTACCTAATTGGTGCCAAGTCAGTTTGGAAGCCTTTTTATGAAGTAGTGGATTGATTGCCAAAACATGACAGTTGGAGGAGATTGTCATTTTTTTTTTTTTCTTTTTTCTTTCTGTAATCATCCTCTTACTCTTTCAGACTGGGAGGTCTTACTCTTAAACCAGAGGAGTCTTCCATCCTGAATTTTGAGGCCGACACATCTTACCTTCGCCAGGCTATTACCTCATTTGGTTCAATTAAAACAATGGTGAGCACCAAGACGTTCCTGGGTTGGAATATTAGAACAAAAAAAATCTTTTTGGGGGGCAGTAGTGCGGTATATTGCAGGTGATATTTCTGCTTTTAGTTACAGCTTGAATGGATCTTGTGTACAAGTCATGTATACACAGTAGTTAATAAACTACTGCATGTAGTTCTGATTTTCACTGATCTTGGATCTTGTTACATACGTGTTATTTTAATATATTTTGCCTGAGACTGAGGGAATGGTGATTATATTCTTGCTCTGTTCCAGCAACTGAAAATTAATGTTATGGTTTTCTTCAGGTATTAATAGTTTTCTATCATAGATGGCTTTCTGTGATATAAATACTTTGGGATTCTTATGTAAGCAGCGTATCTCCTGTATTATTTCTGATAACTATCTTAAAGGAAGTGTGCTGAAAGTAGTATTTTTATAGTAAATCTTTCTCCATTCTGTTTTTAAATGTTGAAAAAATTATTAGCCACAAAGAACTGACCAGCTGTCATGGCTCTTTACTTCTGCTTTGTTGTAGAATTCATCCTAGAAACTGGACAAAATTGAGATTTAAATTACTTTTCTTTCCTTACAGCAGACCTCAGAGAGAGAGAATACTTCTCCCTGGTTCCCAGGGCAGAACTGTGCTCTAATGAACTGTGAGCAGGTAAGATGAGAGACTTGTATTTATGAATGTTTAATGGTATTAAAGGGAAAAGAATAACTCAATATGTTAGTTTGCTTGAGTAGTGACTTCTGTTGGCAAGATGTTTGAGTAGCCAGTAACAGTCACTGTGGTGAGCATTAGTGATCTGTTCTAGCTGCTCCAGGAAGAGATGTACAAGAACATAGTTTGAAATTGACTTTGGAGTGTGACTGTTAGTCAGAGTATTTGAATTGAATATTTCTTGGTGTTGTCATATCAGGACTTGGAACTATCTGATTCCTTTTAATGCAGAAGTTCATGGGAAATCTTACACTGGGCTCTGCACAGAAGTAGTGTCAGTGAAGGAGGGTAGCAAATTATTAATGGGAGTTGTGGTCAGAAGGAGGCTTATGGCTGGGTTACACATACTGGAACGGTGCGTTGTACAAGTTGTCATTTCCCTTTCTTGTCACTTGCGTTCTGAAGAATCTGGGATCACAAAACAATCTATCAGTGCAGTGGCTTAAAGTCATGCAGGCAATTGAAGGTTTCCTTTTTTCTTAGTTAGAAGGGACTGTTTTTTTCTTTTAGTTCAGAAATACTGATGCATGTTGAATGCCTGTTCTGATCTTCACCATAGATTACCTCAGCAGTTAGACTTTCTCATGACCAAGAACGTTCTTTCTCAGCAGAAAACATTGTGTGGGACAGTGAGTGCCTCGCTTGCTGACTGGTTACTTGGAAGCAGACCTGGGGGTGTTTGCCAGGCTCCGTATGTTCCCAGCACCAATCTTGAAGAATGGGTTACGCAAAAATGTGTGTCAGAGCCCAGCCAGGTAAGTCTTTTATGCACCAACCTAGTTTTTAATAAAGGGGAGAACACAGTGTCTGATTGCAGGTGGAATATGGTGGGAATTAAACTTTCTGTACTTCTCTTTGCTCTGCCTCATGTTCAGCCGATACTTCTGCACTTGCTATTAGAATGCTCCAAGCTGTAACTGCGCAAAGTTACTGAACATTGTCTCTCAGTGTTAATAGATGCATTTCAATGTGTCTTTACTAGGATTTAAATTCTTCCAAAGTTTGTTATTTTGAGCAAGCCTGGGGAAATCTGAAAGATTTGGAAAACTGGCTCCTGCAGAATCAACAGCATGATGTTGCTGGGAAGACACACTCCCCGAGCCGCAAGGACTCCACCTCTACTTTCAACTCATCCTTTTCCACTATTGAAAAGGTGGAGGAATTGGAATCCCTTGGACAAGAAGAGATGGACCTTTCTGACTGGCTTCTTACTCCTAACACAGTGAAAGAGTGCTTCAGATGAGAAATGGAAGTATGAATTTAAACCTTTTAGGGAAGAATTTAATTTGAATGATTGGCTTCTCAAAGCTGAAACGTGCACCAGTTGCTGTGGCAGCCAGGTCAAAAGTGTGGAAATTGAGAACCTGGGAAATCTGAAGTGCCTGAATGAGCATCTTGATGGAAAGAAATCACCCACTACATCTGCTGTAAGTGCTTGGCTGCTTCAGCATCCCCAGGTGCCATTTAAGGTGGAAGATGTGTGCAAAGCTAATGAGCTGTGTGCCAGCTTTTCAGAGTGTGTGTGCAATGAAAACTGTGGAAAAGACGCTCTGTGTAAATGGCTTCTGAAGAAAGAAGGGAAGGATAAAAATGGAGTTCCAGTCAGCCAGAAAGATGTACCAAACCCTGAGCATGAGAAGGTGAAGTCTGCTGCCAGTACTTGGCTTAACCCCGCACAGCAGCTCACAGGGGAACCTGTTAGTGCAGAGAAGGCGGATTATTCGGCAGAGATCGCAGAACCCTTGAAAGCCTTGCTCGAGAGGCCTCTGACAAGCTGGCTAGCTAAGTCTGAGCACAAAGCAGAAAGCACAGAAGAAAAGGCGAGAAGGGAAAAAGCAGATGATAGTTTCAAGAGTCCTTTCCTAGACCTCTTGGCTCCATTCCACCTCCCCTTGAACGTAAACAGTTGGGTGTTGACTTCAAACAACCTAGAAAATGCTGACACACCTCCAGCAGAAGATAAATGGCTTCTACGCAAGAAAGCACAAGTGAGCATGTTCATACGTTTTTGTTACTGCTGGGTCCTAAGCCAATGTGCCAGGTTTATTGTTTTACTGAATTTAATGCCCGTCTTCTTTTCCAAATTCATAGCTCTTCTGGGTAATACTAGCTGACAGTTTTGGGGTTTCTTAGCTCTTCTAATGTTTTCAGTGATTATTACTTAGTTACTTAAGTAGATGAGGCCAGCATTTGGCACAGGCAAAGTTAATTTTGAAGTATAGCTAGTCTTACTAAATGAAGAAAGTATTAATCTCCAAGACTGAGAAGTCAGTTTTGTTTTCTTTGTGAACACTTGACAGAATTTGCAGATGCATCAGAATGTATTTATGTTTGGAGATCAGTAATTAAGGTGACTTCTCTTTCAGGACTTTGGCCTTCCTACAGTTTGCGACCTTTTTGCCTGTATGAAACTCAGCGGAGATAAAGAAAAATGGCTGTATCAGACTCCTCTGCAGGTAGGATGCACAGAACGTGTTAGAACAGCTGAGCCCCAGCGTAAGGCGGGGTACAGAATACAGACCATGGCAGCTGACTGACGTCTGCAGAGTTCTCTGTCCCTAATGTTTAACAGCATTGTGCTCTTCTCCCCATGCACCTTCTAACAGCTTTGAACATTCTGTTTTTTCGTTATTCCTCCTCTTTTGATTGCAAGCCAGGGAGGGAATTACTTATGTTCTTAAGTACATGACTCTTCAACTGCTTGACATTTGGTAAAATCTTGGTAACTCCTACTGTAACTAGAATGTGCAGTTAATGTCTACATTTCCAGGTAGCTTGGTTCTTATCTTGGTAGTGTATTTGCGACTGATGTCGTGTTTCTCCTCTCTGCCAAGATCACTCTTTATCATTGTTTTTGAAATTAGTGAAAGAAGTCCTTCTTAGCAGGCATACTTCAGATGCTAAAAGGCAAGATGCTCAGTTCTAGGGAGTATTTTAGTATGTTTGGGGTTCTTTTGCCCGGGTGTCTTACATGTGTTTTTTTCCAAAAGTGTTGCTTTCTGTTTATCAAAGAGAATAACCCCATTTTAAATTTGTTTAGATGTG